ATTATAAGTCATTTTAGCTTTTTAGATTCATAGCTATTGCTATATGTATCTAGACAGAGTATATCTAGGTGCGTGATAAAGGTTATGTACCTAGAAAAGTCAAAAAGACTTAGCCTCATTTCTTACCATAAAATATGGGTATCGTCCGTGGCTATTTGTGATCTTAAGAGGTGCCTCACTTAATGGACCTTTAATCATCATATGCCTAAGTTCCCCAACAACATACAACACCTCCTTGAAATATCTACTATCTGTCTCTATAGATCTCCTCCAACTTTGGTGAATTAATCTAAAACATCGGTTGTGGCCAACCACATGAAAAAAATATTTCAACTTGCTCTTCTACACAACTATGAATGTTGTCCCTTAGCAAGTTTCTCTCCCTAAGCAAGCTACATATCTTAAAAAATGGCTCTCCTCACGCAAAGCATGTTTACACACTCTATATCCCCACATCAGGACATAACCAATTCGATATCTGTAGGGCTGACCAACTCTCCTACTCATGATGAATACATACATAGCGGTCACGATGAGAACATAATAAGCATGTGCCTCTTTTCTTCTGGATCCATCTATGTACACGATGAGAAAATAAATAGAGCTAAGATTTACACTAAATAACATCATGCATGGACATCAGCTCATAATAAAATATAGCAGCATGTGGCTCTTTTCTTCTGGATCCATCTATGTACACGATGAGAAAATAAACAGAGCTAAGATTTACACTAAATAACATCATGCATGGACATCAGCTCATAATAAAATATAGCATATCATATGCAAGGACAGAGGACATGAAAATACATACAATAGCTTAGAAAATCATATCTATCATAAAAGGCATGGACAACAGCTCACATAATTACTTGAACCATCATAGTCATGTGGACAATAGCTCAGGTTAATAATCACAAACATGGACAACAGCGAATCATCGAGAAAGGCATCACATGCAACCAACCACAACAAAACATTACCACCACCAGCAAAAGAAGTAAGGAATAGGGTTTGTTCATCTTTACTGAGCCTAGTCGGAGAAGGAAGCCACCAACAAGGATAGATCTGAGGGGAAAAGAGGAAGTACCACAAGATCTACAAACCTACACAAGAAACATCCAGTTAATGGAGTGAAATAGATGTGCCGCATCCTGATCTAGGGTTTGCAGCAAGGGGAAATCGAAAAGGGGAGGGTGGAACTTGCCTGCACAAACCCACTCACCAGGATCTCACCACTGCAAATCGATGAGAGACAAGAGGTTAGGCGCCGCCATGGAATTGAGGGAAAGATTTTGAGAGGAGAGGAGGGGATTCGCCTGATCGATCCTAAGGGTTGAAATGGCGAGCAAGCGGAAGAAGAGCGGGTCAGCAAGGAGGATTTATGGCGATCGATGGTGCAAAACAGGGGCGGTAGCCCCAACCTTCCCATGAGTACACCATAGCTAGTTACTCTTGGTGGTTGTCGCCACCTAGATGGCTTGGAGCAGCGAGGATCATCGAGCGGAGGTTGGTGATTGTCTCCGGCTCCGATCGCGGTGATTGTGAGGGGTTCTTGACCTTTCCCTAGCAGAGAGCTAAAAGGTACTCTAGTAAATTGCTCGTGGCTTGTGTGATCCTCATCTTATGTTGGTTGTGTGGCACCCTATTGAGGGTTTAACGTGTGATGCCAATTAAGCGCGTGAACCTCCAAGTGAGTGAATCGCCACACACGAGGACTAGCTTGCCAAAAGCAAGTGAACCTCGGTAAAAAAAACATCGTGTCATCATTTGATTCCGAGGTGATTGGTCTTCATTGGTATTCATTCTTGTGATTGATTGGTTCATTCCTTGACTCGGCGATATAATTATCTTGCTCTCTCTCTTTACATTACATAAACTGGTTATTAAGCTCTTTAGTGTAGTTAGTTGTGAGAGCATGTTAGTTTGGTTAATGTGGCTCTTTAGTTAGCCTTTGAGAGCACACTAACTTAGTGTAGTGACATAGCCATTGTGTGGATAGAGACTATAGAAACTAGATTTGTGGTAGGTGGCTTACATTTTTAGTAGGCTAGTGCAACACTACGCGCTTCATATTATATTTGTCTAACCGGTTTGTTAAGTGTTGTTGTAGAAAATTTTAATAGGCTATTCACCCCCCCTCTAGCCATTCGGACCTTTCAGTAGCCCCAACCTTCCCATCCATGACCGGGCTCCAAGGTGATCCATGATAGAGGCGGCTTTTGCCTGAAGTGACTGGCAAAACCCTAGACTTGAAAACCAATCACGTGTATGTTGCATCTGGCGGGCCCTGGTTGGGCCTCATATAGGCAACCAATCGTGCCCTAAAATATAGCTACAAATACAACAACAGGTGACTATCTTATATTTTAAAATAAAGAGTATATAGCTCCATAAAGATTGTAATAAGTAGATAAGTCCTTCTCTAAAGCTTTAGCGCTGAGTACGAGTATAATTAAGGAATTGTGTTTACTCACAAAAGAAAATATTTGATTTTATGCAACTATTAAACCATGTTTTTTTGTAAATTATGGTACCAACATAGACACTCATATACATGGACGTATACATACATCCTATCCGAATGTGTACACCCTTTGAAAGATTGATCCGGTAGATCTCGATAGTGATAAAATCACCACAATTGTATCGCTATTGATAACATGTTGCCTATCGTGGAAAATGCGAGCATCCACATCAAGTCTAGAAATCAAAATTAGATGAATATATTTCACCATAGAAAATCTGGAGTAAATTGAATCCACCATACAACAACTTGTACGGTTGTATGTCTATGGTCCAACAAGTTGTAAAACATGTAAATAAATACATGAACTTGTCACATGCGTGCATCTTCCACTACTGGAAACTCGAATTGTTCTGTGGGTGAAAAAAATTTCTGTGCGTTTTTTTTGTACGCACAGAAAAATTTTCTGTGCATCTTCCACCCCGGCCCGTCCACTCCTTGTCCCGCGCCACCCCGGATCCGCCGCCTACTCTCCTCCCGCTGGCGGCCGGCTCCCTCCCCTCCTCTCCTCCCTTTAGTGGCCGGCCCTGGCCCCTCCCCTCCTTGCCCCGTGCCGCCCCGGATCCGCCGCGTCGCCCCGGATCCACCCACGGTGGCCGTCCCCGGCCAGAGCGCAGCGCGGCTGGGCTCCGCCGGTGGCCAGCGCCGTGCCTGCTCACCGGTGCTGCCTCCTCCCGTTGGTCCGCGTTGGTTCTTGTGCTCCACAAAACCCTAGCCTGCGGGTAACAATTCATGGAAAACTATCATATTTACATTGACAAAAAATGTGCTAGGTATGCCTTGTTAGCTGCTAGGCTTTTGCTTGCATAGTTGCATCTGTTTAAAATTATGTTACACAGATTTTCATCTTGTTAAGTTGATAGTCTAGCATTGCATTTCAAGATTTAGACACAAGGAGGCTTGAAAGCTGCAGTGGTCCATATGCAGAGTCATAGGCAACATTGGAACCCTCAATTGCCTTTTCAATTCAAGGTAAAGCTCTTCCAAAATGGCTGCGAGGCTAGACCATGCTGAGATAGATGATGCGTGAGATGTATACTTACTATTCCATTGTTTATTAGTAGTTTTGTAACAGTGAGATGAGCAACTGTTGTACTGCCCTGTGAAGCTAATCTGCTCGGTGTGACCTCAGTGTTAATCCTTGTTTCAAACTAGCAACACTGTTTCTTGCGTTCACAATGTGCTAATTGCTCAACACCTATTGCTTGCCTTAGGTTGCTTCTTGAACGGACATTAGTGATATATACTGATATTATTTGATTAAAAAACAGAAGATATGTGAGGGTGACTAATTGATGATAACATGTTGTCTCACATATTAAATAATAAATAAATAGATGCTAATCAGCATGTTGGCACAAGCAGCAGTCTGACCACTAGAAATGTTTGTACTTATTTCAGTTTGTGGGTTGGTGATTCCAGTGCCTTTAAGTGCCAGTAAGGGTAAGACCTGTGAATTTATATGATGACTAGCAGTAGTAACATTTGTATATTTAGTAAAAAGTTAATATTTCTATGTCATGTCTGGTTGTGTTAGAATTAAATTAAAAAGAGATCTAGTGAGATTGATATGTGGTTCGTAGTAGAATTGAAAATACAGTTGCGTATATGTTGCTTGCGTCTAAAAATTCAGACCATGCATTAGCAGTTACTGTCTTTGAGGTAAAGAATGTGTCAGGCTCAAATGGTAGCAGCAGCTTATTCAAATTGTAGCAGCTAGGGGCAGCACTTATTAATTCTTTAACCCAAACAAAATCATTACATTGATCTGGTTAGTGTAATTCAATTTTTGGACAAATGGATTATACGTTTATGACTGCTGTTATCTCTTTCTATTGGTTGTATGTCTTTCTCTAAAATAAAATGGTCTATATGCTTCTACAGATTAAAACAATGTCTTATTTCTTAGCAATAATTTGGATATTTTTGTGAAAGCGCTGACTAGTATAGCACCTCATGTATGTTACTAGTTTGGTACATGTCAAACTGCCTGTTAAAACCATTTGTTTTATTTGGTTAATTCTTTGTTCTATTTTCTCATGTAGGTATGCAACCAGCAAATCTACGACTTAGGTCAAAAGATAGTGTGGTGGAGGAAAATGTAAAATAGACATGCCTCTTTGTTCCAAGTGAGTTCCTTCTTTCAGGCTTTTTTGTTACATTGTTTCAGATGGAAAAACTGAGGTGACACATTCAAAAATATTTCAGCTTTAGGGGACTGAAATTGGGGGTGCATCCTATAGCTTGGAGATGCTATGAAAACAATATTTTCTAATTTGCCCCATGGGTCATTTTTATTCTGATTTGAATCCACCTGTGATGGAAGGTTTGGATGCCTACTTGCGGTAATGCATTACTATGTCCTTACAGTTTTTCTTTATCGAATTTGTGCTTTATCTCAATGCCTTGTAGTAAATATGATGGCAACTGCTTTCAGAAATCTAAGCATTTGGTGAAGTGAGTTGATCCATAAATGGATGGTGGTAAGTAATGCACTCTTTAACAGGAAGTTCATGCTTGGGGGAAATCTATGATACAAACCATTTTTTTTATCCATGCAGGATACCCTCAGGAACAATCCCATTTAACAAACAAATGGTTCAGCTCAAAGTCATCAAAGAAGGTAATACTCATGTAGTCATGTCATCTTCACAATTTTCTTCTGTATGCTCCAAAGGAACTTTTGAGGAAAATTCTATTATATCCTCATTAGTGAGCATATGTTGATAGATCAGTTATCTGTCTTTTTACGTTAGCAAAAGGAAAAGGCAGCAAGTTTACTTGTTTAGCTTGTGTAAGCTTCTGTAGCTGGTTCACTATTTATTTTAATTGTATCTTGTCTGTTAACGAACTTGGAAACAATATGATGCATGTAAGTTGTCTAAAAGGAAGCCCACAGTCCACCAAAATGTTTGTAAGACAACATAGCTCTCAGTACTTGTGTTTCTATTATGCATTATTAAGCAACGGAGATATTTTTCTACCAATTTTAAGACCTTTCCCTATATAAAGAAATGCTATCAGTTGACCCTAGTTTTGTCAATGACACATTTATCATTATTGTTGATCTTTCCTTTTATGGTGTTATATGTAAACAGATACCTCTGACTGCTGTTACTTCTGTCATTGATGGCTTGAAAAAACTTTATATCGAAAAGTTAAAGCCTTTGGAAGTTACATACAAGTTCAATGATTTCGTCTCCCCTTCGCTGGTACATACTGTATTCCCATTTTTTGGATACTTTAGGAAACAGAAATGACTACTTTCCTGTGTAATCATTGTAGTATTCATGTTGACTGTTCTTACAGGTAGAGATGGAGTGCAAGGTGAAGCAGTTTACAATTGGTTGAACAAGAAAAAATAGTTTTGTTTCTTTTTCGATATCCATATTTGTGAATTCGTTTGTAGTATTCATGTTGAACATGCCGGACCATTTGGACATCATCTATATGTAGCCCGGATGCCATTAATGAATGTGCTGAACATTTGGATCTTTATATGTATGCTATCTATTATGATGTGATGAAATTACAGTATGGACAGTCCATATTTAATATATTGTTGCTACTGTTCTGTTTGTATATAATTCTTGTATCCAATTTGCTGCATGGTTAAGGGTTTTTTTTTCTGTCGGTGGTCTGTTATTTTTCTGTGCGTTAACCGAGACTGACACAATATTTAAATTTAATCTGGGCTAACGCATTTTTTCTGTGCGTGTAACACCCACAGAAAAATCATTTTCCTGTCGGACTTTTCTTTTTTTCTGTGAGGATCAACGCACACAACATTTAAACTTAATCTGGGCTAACGCAATTTTTCTGTGTGTGTAACACCCACAGAAAAATTGTTTCTGACGGCGAATACACAGAACAATTAAATTTTTCTGTCATTATATTTTTGTGGGTATTTTTCTGAGGGTACACCGTAAGAAAAATATTTTTCTAACGGTATTCGCATTTTTCTGTGTGTTTTCGCACACACAGAAAAATGCGAGATTCCAGTAGTGTTCGGTCACATATATGTCATGCTGTGTATTTTTTGCCACCATGGCAGGTGATACTGGCAGTTTTATGCATGTTGCCTCCTTTCTTTTTTCCCTCCTCTCATTTGGGTCTATGTGGTTTATTTCCATTCGTTTCATCAATTGTTCGTCTCTTCATACATCACCTGGAGTACTATAATGAATAGCGCCAGATCAAATCAGATCGGTGACGGTACCTGCTGGTAGCCTTCAATGTCGATGGAGCCACACGGCATGAACAAGATGGACTTTCCTTCGATTCTGGTTCATAATTATTCTCCTATTTTTGTCTGCACAAGTTCACTTTTAGTGTATCCACGACCTTCGAGGCAGTGCCGGGCCAGGGGGGGCGCCGAGGGCCCTCGTGGGATGGGGGCCCAAGCCCAAGTATATAATACTCCATACCTTTAGCTATAGTCCATTAGGATTTAGGATTAATGAGAAGATGCAGCGGCCCATCAGCAAAAGGAGTTGTCGGCCTCTTTCTTTCGAGGAGGCAAGGAGCCGAGCCGCCAACACGTGCACATAGCGATCGCCAGTCGCGACTTCCGGACTTCTGGCGAGACTGCGAGAGACGCAGCGCCGATCAGCAGTTCACCACGCGATCACCAGCACAGATCACCGAGACACCGACGCCCGAGTTCCAGTCTTCCAGAATCCAGATGACGGCGTTCCAGATGACGGCGGCGCCCAGGCAGCTGAGGCAGGGCTCGACGAAAACGACGACATCTGATCTTGGTTATTACCTTCTGCTATTTTTGTGATTTGTGAATCTTGGTTATGAAAAAGTTCATGTCCAAATTGTCTAGGCCATAGGTTTTTTTTCCTTGTTCAATTTTTGTCTAGTACTTTGTACTCATATAGTCATGTTTTTCTTGTAATTTAGGTTAGGTGTTATAATTTTAGATATTACCTAAGAAACATTTGTCAAGAGGAGCTGTCGCGACGAGTTCACTAGAGGGTCCTCAAAATCATAGGACCGGCACTGCTTCGGGGAGTGGTGGATACGTGCATGTGCATGTCATAATACAAGGCATTACATAGGTCCACTGTGGAGCAACTCATTATTGCTTCAGCAAAAAAGGATCAGAGCGAATGACCGATTATTTTTCACCATTAGTACTAGTAACTTGCAAGTAGGACTACCGTTTCTTTCCATGATTTTCCATGTTGTTTAATTTGCAGTACATTGGCCATTAACACTACTAGAGAACAGACTTTAGAACGATATCTTAATTTAGCATTAGCCTCGGCATTTTTTGTCGCCGGGACTAAAGAATCCTTTAGTCCTGGTTCGTAATACCAACCGGGACTAAATGTCCCTGCTCAACGGTTGTCCGCGTGGCAGGGATCTTTAGTCCCGGCTGGTATTACCAACCGGGACTAAAGGTTTTAGTCCCGGTTTGGGTGATACCCCGGGAATAAATATTAATCTTTAGTCCTGGTTTGGCCACCTAACCGGGACTAATTATGCCGGCCTATACACCGGCTCATTTCTTCCTCCCTGAGCCCGAGCCATTCCATTCAAACTCACTGCCTCTGTTCTTCAGCTTGATGTTGTTCTTGCTCTCTCCCCCTCTATTGGTGTTGCTCTTCGATTTTGGAGGTAACAAACTTAATCCTCTTATGTTTTATCAGTAGCTTATCTCATTTTGCGAAGTAGATGCATGTGTAACTTTATATGTTGGACTTTATTATGATTTTATATGTCATTTTTAGCTCAAAATCACATGATGATTTGCATATATGTTTGGATAAACAAAAGTTAAATTAGTTCATCAAAATCACGCCTCGCTCGTCCTCGTTGGAGCATGCGCCATCCTCGTCCCCGGCGGCTTACGTGATCTTAGAATTAATTTTTCCATGAAATGAAAAACTTAGAAAATAGTTAAAAAATTATAGAAAATCCGTACTAGTTGAACTTGTGGACCGTGATCATCTCGGCGAGCATTTTCTCTGCCGAGCAGTAACGGACGTCAAGGAGGAGCTTTGATTCTACGAGAGAGAGCGGCAACGGTCGTGGAAGATCGTGTTCCCTTCCTCGTAGAATCGGAGCTCTTCCTTGGCCAAGTACGGTGCCGTCCGGTTGAGAAATGCTCGCCAAGATGATCACGTAAGCAAGGTCAACTAGTACGGATGGTTATTTATTGAAATATGTTTTTGAGCTATGTGATTTGTATGTCATTTTTAGCTCAAAATCACATGATAATTTACAATAGTAAAATCACTTGATAGTTTGGTGTTTTACTATTATACATAGTACATATTTCATGGTTTAGTTAGATAAATAAATAATTTTAGTTTTGTTTAAATATATTATTTTAGAAAATGTGAATTTTACAGTAGTTTGCAAAAATAAGTATAGAAAGTAGATGACAACTGGTACCGGATCCTCAGCCTCTCGTTCGGTTGCGAAACGACCGAGGCCAGAACTCCCTCTCATTATCTGCGGCAAGTGTAAGCAGAAGATTGTGATGGAGTACCGAGTCAAGAGATAGGGACCCAACAAGGGTCGTGTTTTCTACAAGTGCCCGGATCGCGATGTGAATTTCTTACGCATTTGATTATTATGGCTAATTGACCTGCTTTTCTTGAATATTTTTGACTAAATATTTTTTGGCTTTAATTTCAGTGGGAGGGCAATGGATGCGATGGTTGGTACTGGGAGAAAGATTATGCTACATACGTGCAGAATTCGGGTGCGCTTGAGGTAGCGGCTGCTGATGATGAGGCAGTGAGCCAGCAGGAGAAGCTTATTGATATTCAACAGAAGAATGATTTGTCTGTTTTAGTTGCGTACGATCACGAAATAATTATGTTACTGAAGTGCATTGTAGTTTTAGTTTGTTTAGTGATAGTTGGGATTGCTTACGTTGTAGCCAGGCTTAGTTAATTAATCAATCGTGTGTGTCATCTATGTTGTGTAATAAAATACTTAATTATGTTCAAGGTTTTCATAATTTGTCGTGTAATACAGATTATGTCACGCCATTGTCTGCCCTTTGGGATTAAAAATCCAGAAGATAAATGCATGTCCTAATGACTGCATCCTCTACCATGGCAATGAATACGAGAATTTGGATGAATGCCCGGTATGTAAAGCATCGCGGTATAAGATCAGGCGCGAGCGATGATCCTGGTGACATCGAGGGTGAACGTCCTAGAAAGAAAATCCCTGCCAAGGTTATGTGGTATGCTCCTATAATACCACGCTTAAAACGTTTGTTCAGAAATAAAGACCATGCAACGTTGTTGCGGTGGTATAAAAAAGACCGTAAGGTAGACAATATGCTGAGACACCCAACTGATGGGTCCCAGTGGAGAGCGAGAGACAGGGAATTTCTAGAGTTTGCAAATGAGGCTAGAAACTTAAGGTTCGCCTTAAGTACAGATGGTATGAATCCTTTTGGAGAGCAGAGCACTAGTCATAGCACTTGGCTAGTTACTCTATGTATCTACAACCTTCCTCCATGGTTATGCATGAAGCGGAAGTTCATTATGATGCCGATCCTCATCCAAGGTCCGAGGCAACCTGGCAACGATATTGATGTCTATCTGAAGCCATTAGTTGAAGAACTTCTAGTTTTATGGAACAAATCAGGTGTACGTGTCTGGGATGAGTACAAATAAGAACACTTTGACCTACGAGCAATGTTGTTCGTAATAATCAATGATTGGCCTGCTTTAAGTAATCTTTCAGGTCAGACAAATAAAGGATATAATGCATGCACACATTGTTTTGATGACCTTGACAGTATATATTTGAAAAGATGTCGAAAGGTCATGTACCTTGGCCATCGTCGATTCCTTCCTTTGAATCACCAAGTAAGAAAGAAAGGGAAGTATTTTAAAGGTAAGCCAGACCACCGGAAAAAGCCTCATAACCGAATCGGGGAAGATGTACTCACAATGGTCAAGGATGTGAAAGTAGTATTTGGAAAGGGACAAGGCAGTGAATTTGTTCCCAAAGATGCTAAGAGACACACACCCATGTGGAAGAAGAAGTCCATCTTTTGGGAGCTACCCTATTGGCAAGTCCTAGAGGTCCGCAACGCAATCGACGTGATGCACCTGACAAAGAATCTTTGTGTGAACTTGTTAGGATTCATGGGTGTGTACGGGAAGCCAAAGGATTCACTTGAAGCACACTAGGACTTGCAGGGCATGAAAGAATGAGACAACCTTCATTTAGAGAAGACAGATGATGGACGTCATTACTTAAGTCCTGCTAGCTACACGCTTAGCAAAGAAGAGAGGGACAGCATGTTCGAATGTCTAAGCAGCATCAAGGTCCCATCGGGATTCTCCTCCAATATAAAGGGTATAATA